GTGTGTGTGTGTGTGTGTGTGTGTGTGTGTGTGATTTCTTTGGTGTCTAATTTGAACTTTTATTTCTCTGTGTTTTTATATAAGTCTTAAAAACAAACAACTTTTGATGTTTTTTTTAGTTATGCAATATCTTATTAGTATTACAAGATATGTAGATGGGTGGGTAGGTAGTTTGGTGGATTGGTTTGTTGGTATGTAGGTAGGTAAAGTTAAATAACTCTATAAGCTTGACTCTAAATATTACTTTCCTGAGAAAATGTTCTGACATCACTACTATTTTGATAGTTCTTCATTGCACTGTCAGCAATGGGAGAGCAGCTTCAGTGCTAAAAGGCAGCAATGCTGCTCACTCATTTAAACAATAAGTAATTAATATTAAACAGGTGACATGAACTGGTCAGCTAGTGGATTTACACATGGTTGTTTTAAGTGTTTCTGTGTACTACATCACTTATTGAAATATAACTTCTAATCTGTCAAAATGAAAAGCATCTTTCAAGATTGTTTTCATCTCTGCACACAAAAAAAGAGAAACAATATAAGCAGATGTGACAGAACAATTTAACTGTTTCCATTTAAATAATCCAAAGAATGAAAGAATGTCGAGCATAACCAAATATTTAAATACTTGAATGATGATCCTCATCACAGTTTGTTTAGCTGCGACCAACAAAAGTTTATTTATGTTTAATGGAGTGTTGGATGTTGTATTAGTTATTTGCGGATGTCGGACCAGATGGAGGCTGAACTAAGTTACAATTAATGAGACTCAGCGAAGTAGTAAAGCACTTTTTGATTTGTTTTATATGTTAGGCTCATCAGGTGTGGAAAGCACTAACAAAAAGGGAGGTCGTGACACCTTAAAAATCAAAATTATTAACTGTTTACCATTTCTAGTGTTACTGCTCTAAAAAGGCAAGTGACACCATCACAGTGACAGTTTTAGGGTCATCCCAGTGTAATTGCTTTCCCTCACCTAATTTTAATAGCTTAATTTTAATCTAAGCCACCCCCTGGATGTCCTGGAGTTGGCTGATGACTTTGTTTAGGGTGATTTGAAGAGACAGCAAAGCACAAAATGAATCCGTCCCAATCCAATTAGCATCATCTTTAACCTTTTGATGGACACCTCAAGGTGACTTAGCCTCCACGCCCAGATGCACTATTATCATCCCACCTTGACCAACTCATCTAAATTACTAAAAGTGTCGTCTTTTTCATTAACCGCCTTGGGCAGGGCAGAATCAGCCCTCCTCTGTCAGCTCAGAAACACAGTGGGAAACTCCATCACAGTTTATACGGGTGTCGGGACAGTGGATGCCTCTAATGTCCTATTTAAAAATAAAATAGCTGCTCGGTAAGGAAACCTTGCTGTGTAAGACTTGGTAAATTAGTTCCTAAATAAAATGCAAACTGCTTTTATAATCTGTCCTGTGCCAGGACAAATTTCCTGCATTAAAGTGCCTGTGACATATTTTTCTTTTTTTTTTTTTTGTAATAAATAGGAATGCATTTTTGGAAATATAGTATTGAAAACACATTTCAAAATAAAACCCACATCACTGAGATGAACAGTTGTTGAGATATTTGCAAATAAAGTATCAAGAAGTGATTTTAAAGGAGAATGTCTGCTTGTGTTTTGCTACAACTCACAACACGGACTGTAGAGAAGAATCAGTTGTTTCTTTAGATCAGGGGTTCCCAAAATTCCCAAAAACTGCATTAGCTTCTGGCCAGGGTTCCCTGTGCAAACCCACAAACAATGCTACAAAATATATAAAGACACATCAACTTTTAAAATATTTTTCTCACTTTTACTTACTGTACAATTCAATAGTTATTAAATTTATTTAGCATAAGAACTGTATTAACTAACATGTTTTAAACACTTTATTCCCACTGATAAAACAACTTTTCAGAAAGCTGTTAAAAACAAAATAAATTAAATCTCTCTCTTAAATAACATTTCAATAAATTATATTTTAAAATAATGATTGAGAAACATATTAAATTTATAGTAATTACTTAAAACATTTACGGTAATTAGATTGTTATTTATTTTTGCAWTTTTTTGTCTTCTCTCATATTTCTAAGGCCCCCATACACCCMCTTGCAGCCCCTACTTTATTGATTATTAAACACTGCTTTAGATCATTTTAAGTCACAATCAAAGAGAGATGAAGAAGAGTTGGAGTTCAAATCATATTTTTCAAGAAACAAAGACCAGGACGTTTTTTTTCTTAAAGAGTTCCCCTTTGATGTCACTTCCTGTTTCACATTGTCTTAGATGAGTTCAGAGGAAAATCTGCCAGTTATGTGACAAAATGGATGAATTTGTGTATTGTGCCAAGTTTCTTAAATGTAAAGATTTTTTTCTTTGACTTTTTGTAATGGAAGGATTTGTGTGTCACAGGCACTTTAAAAAAGTTATGAGTTTATTGATTTAATCTTATGAAAAATGGCACAGAAAAGTTGTAATGGACTTGCTAAAGTGAAAAGAAAGATTCGATCGCACCCATACTTTTCTGTTCTTTCCTTTATTCCTTATACAAGCCGTATCGTACAAACACACAGACTTTGCATATTTGTTTTGTTTTGTTTTGTTTTGGTTTTACCTGCGCCTCAGCTGCACAAACATTTTTATCCCACTAAATAGAAACAGCAGTCATGCATTCACAAGACTTTTTGGTTGCTAACTCCATCTCCATTTTATGTTTTCCATATACTGAATGAACAGATGTTTGTGTAAATTGCATTCCTGTGACACTGCAGTTATTAAAAACATGCTTTGCATTCCTAAATAGCTGTTTTGATATCATTTGAACTGCATGCAAATTTCGTGTCAGACTGATTATCAATATTTTACTYCTTAGAKTTGTTAGAAGTTAGTAAAATATATAAAATGTTAAAATATAAAAGGGAAGTGTTAATTAGTAGTTATATAATTGTCATGTGATGCTTTTGTTTTCTTTTCCAGCCAGAGAAATGACCAGGGGGAAGTTCCTGAATATTTTGGAAAGGCCGAAGAAATGACCTTTTGTTTTTTGTTGCTATTGTTGTTCAAGCAAGTGGACATTTATAATCTTTGGTTCATTCACATGTTTAGACCTTAAAGAAATTTGAAGACTGAACTTCGCTGTAAATWGGAGCAAAATGCTTCTTCACGCAGCTGAAATGTTGTTCTCCTTGCCTTTACTTTTATTGGTACCTTTTTATTAATTTTATTTGTCTTAAAGACCTTAACAAAGTTAATTATTTTTAATTTATTTTCTTAAACATTAATGAACTTTTTTGCAAGTTGTGAAATTGTATGATAAAGTTTTAAAACAAAAAGAAAGGGCTGTTTATTTAAGGGTTTCTTTCATTTATAAACTTGGAACGGATGCGAGAGTTTTGGGAGACAGTTCAGTTTTTAATTAGGGCAATAACTTCATGCCCGCTCCTTTCCTCAGAGAGCAGCACCTCATGTTGGGGCTCCCAATGCTTCCCAGCTCTCAGGGGCCATATTTTCCCTTTAATGAGCCCTTGAGAGCAGGGTCCCCTACACAAAACATTGCATAAAAATAATATTGCTCATTGTCATCGCCGGTAATAGGAGTAGACATAATTACGGGGACCATTTCTTTTCTAATTAGCACACTTCAGCCTTGTTGGAGCTTGCGACCAGGCAAAAAAGAGGGAATCAGACAGGCATGCCGAGTGGGAAACAAAAAGAAGTCCGTCCGCTGTAATTAGGTGAGACAAAGGCTGGGATTGTTCTCGGCTGGAGATGTCGCTGGGCCTCTGACCGCTCACTCCCAACACTTCTCCACAGGCCGCTAATAAGCCCCTAATCGTCCCACCGATTCACACGGACAGAGACGGGCCACGGCTGCCGAGGCTTCACCCCCTGCCTCTCACACGGACCCTAACTCACCCCTGAGAAAAAAAAAWTGGATTATGTCTGCAGAGACTGGTTTTCCATGAGTGTCCTGCTAGGAGAAAAGAGTCTGGTGTTCCCTGAACGCCTCATGAGGCCATGGGGACGAGAAATGTGCATAATGAAAATACACCTCAATTTCTTTAAGTATGAGTTAATTTAATGTTTTAATTGTAATAAATTATGTTTTAAGGTTATAATGTGTAAGTATATTTCCTATTATTGCCCACTGCTGAAAGGTGAAGGTGGGTGAATGTTTTTTGCCCTTCCCTGTGTGTGTGACCTTAAAAACACATGAAGCARTGGAACATATTTAATGGGTGTACATCTAAAACTGATTCACTTTTGAATTCCTTCAAAACCCTTTAGTTATTTCATTTTTAAGAAACACCAACAAGAGCTGCAGGTTGACACTTGTTGAAAAGGATAAATCTGCTCTTTGACATTTTCAATCTGTTTTACGCACTGGTGGCTGCCTGTCACCCGCGGCCAAAACACATCCCACTGAGCTGCTCATCCATACCAGAGAGAGGAGAAGGRAAAAAAATCAGTCCATGCAGTGACCTCACATCACTCTGTGCCCCGACAAACGTCAATCCGATGTGCCCTGAGCCCTTAAATTAGCTGTCAATTAGTGCAAATTAATCAACTCCTCGCCTAATTAAGCAATGCCAACGGGCAGCTACCAAACAGGACACTGTGGAGGGAGGCATGAGAAAGCTGCGGGACCTGCAGAACCTGCTGGGGGAGGAAGAGGCGGGGGCACAAACCATTACACCCCTCAGTCTGCTTCTCTCTCACCTCCTCACTACTTGTTTGCTGTCATCAAGGTCCAACCCAACTGATTCAGCACCTCGTTCTGCACTTTTTTGCTGAATCTTTCTTTTGATTTTTAACCTTGGAATATGTTTAGAGAAAAAAAAATGCATGTTTTTGAGTATGTTTTAAGGGATTTGGACTATAAAATTGCTCATTTCATTCCACTTTGATCTGTATTTCTGCATCTCATCCTATAATCTACATTCATTTAAATGCATCTCAAGCTTTGCCACATAAATCAGCAGAATAAGATACTTAACTTGCATTAAAGGTACTCATTGCAAGCTATAAAATGAAACTTATAAATCATATCTTGCATTAAATGGTGCTGTTTGAAAGACTTTAGTAGTAGTTCTTTGAATATACTGGTGTACAGATCTGAAATGTGGGTATGCACTCACTGTAAACAAAACATTTTTTTGCATGCTTTTCTCATCAAATTAGAGCATAAATACACATCAGTATCAAAATATCAAACATCTCTATCCCTAACAGCTCTTGCATCAATGTCATGTCACCATCTGCGGCCTGTTTTATTTTTATATATACAAATATACAAATGAGACATTTTTTTTCTCTTGCATTATAATTTTTTGCATGTCTTTATGACATTACAGTAGATACCTTTAATGTGGGTGATTGAATTTTCACCGTTTTTTTAACCTGTGAGTTTCCAAAAATGTGAGGACCCATTTTTTTGCATTGATTCTTTTTAGAAGACAGGAAGGCATGAAAGCAGGAGAAAAAATTAAAATAAAAAAAGCTTCTTTAAAGTGGAAAGCGACATTTGTGAAATACAAATAAATAAATAAAAAGTCAACAGCTGTGTGCGTTTTAATCTAGAGCCGTCCTTCAGATTCTGCTGGTCTTTGATGTGCAACCTAATCTACACGAATGACTGGACTAAATCTTCCCTCAATCTAGAGCCTTATTAGGCAGCCTCTTTTTCTGCATGTAAATCAGGGTGCATCTATTTCCCCTAGAAGATGGATTAATGAAAAGAAAAAAAAAACACAGAGGAGAGAGTGTTCAACAAACAAACAAACAAGCTGTATAGATTGCAGCAGGAGTGATGATGGAGTGAGAGGCCTCAGTTACTTCCCTGTAATTGACGGGGGTCATTCTGACTCGCACCCTTCCCTCTTAATAAATGACTGGATCCCAACAGGCTGATGTGTCATTAGCATATCCTAATAACATTGATTTCTTCATTAATGGAATTTCCACTAAATAGGCCCTAATTACTTTCAACTGGCCTACCACTAATTGCAGCAGCAACATTTTTCTTCTTGTTAATCAGCTGCTTGTTTCATGCAGATATAAAATATGACTTTGGATGGCAGGTCAGAGGAGGCTCTGCTCTTCAGACACACAAACACCTTTTAGGCCACTTCAAACAGGGTCCCATTGCTCTGCAGCTTAAACTATTTATTTAGCAAGGGTTTTTTTTTTTTTACATAGCAATGTTATTTTAATGATTTGATAGACACATTTAAACTATTTATTTAGCAAGATTTGTTTTTTTAACAGCTGGGTTACTTTAATGATTTAATAGCCATGTTTATACTATCTATTTAGCAAGATTTTTTTTTACATAGCTGGGTTACTTTAATGATGCTWGATCATTGTGTGAAAACTCACACACTGTCAGAAAATTTCTAAACAAATTTGTTCCAGTGAGGGGGAAAAACTACAATAAAAAA